TTATGTGTAATTGTCAAGGCAAACATTTTTTCCTCTGTGTGGTCTGTTGCGCTTTGGCCACAGGTCTACAAATGTGAACCACTGAAGGTCTTGAGTAGTCATATCGATTTCTGGGTTGTACCAGCAAATAATTCCCAGGTCCTTTCTCATAATGGTCTCAAAATGATAAAATATTCTGGTTCCTGTATCAAGCTCCCTCCTTGTCAGTGTTCACTTAATTCTTTTTTTTGGGGGGGGGGAGGGGGTTGATTGCTTTGCTAGAACTGTATTTTTCAATGAAAATGCAAAAGCCCTATTACAAAACCTCAGATATTGTAATTCTGGTCTCCTCCCCCCCATGATCTAAGAAGCTAGCCTGTAGATTCTATCATTTTAAGAAAGAACAATGAAAAATGCCACAAATCCTTAGATGAAAAGACTGTGAGGACTGAAAATTATGTTATGGAAGCCTATTTGTTTATGTATTTATTTATTTATAAACATGATTTTTAAAAATCTATATAAATAACAATTAACGAAAAATTACAGAGTATGGTCTTCAGAGCTAAGGATACAAAAAGTTTTCAAAGGCTGAAAGTGCTTGTTGCTGGTCCAGAAGACTCCTGAATACTTAAAAAAAAATAACCTGTCCTATAACCTGCCATAGTTTAATTCTGGGTTGCAGAAATAGAAGTTTTATGTCCCGTGGCATCTATAGGCTGTCAAAACATGTCAGAATGTTGCATGTGACCACAAGATGGAAGCTCCATTCCATTTTTGCCTGTGTGCAATGTGTGTGCTGCACATGGGGCTTTGCTTGCTGTTATAGCTATTTTGATTCCTCTGCAGGCCCCCATATGTTTACAAACCAATCCTGAAAACTTTTCTTGGAAATATCAGCGCGTTAACAAAAGTTTTTAATTGCACTAAAGTTGTTAATGGAACTGAAAATAGTGGAGAAATTACATAAACTATATTTTGACTTAATTTTATATTTATCCTTAGTTTTCATCCTACCAAGACTATCCTTGAGAATGTGTCTCCTATCATGACATTCAAAAGACTTTCAGCCCAGAACGTTGTTTTTGTAGATGATTGAAATGTAATACATATACTTGCCAATTTATAACTACCATTTCCCCCAATAATCCAGTTCACAATTTAAACTAATTTCATTACACATTTATAAGTAAAATTCAACATTCACATACTTAATAAAATATTTATTATGAAAACTGAATTGTAATTGTACAATTTGATATGAATTACATACAGTACAATGAAAACCAAAATATTGCATATAATAAATTCTAATGTTGCCAAAATATAAATTGTATACAACCAGCATCTCAATCCATGAGTCCAAGTAGTCCTAGGCTAGGAGTGGGACTGCAACTTGCATTCTCAACATTCAGCAATGTAATGTAGGTCCTGGGAAAAATTATAACTGCAGTGTTTTTAACTTTTGAGAGAGTATATGGCTGAAACAACCTAATAATGTGCCTCTAGCATATGGCTAAATATACTTTTAGCAAAATGAATGTTTACAATACAGATACAAGAAAAACAAAACAATTCTGAACAATGCAATGCAAAATATGACAATTTTGAACAACAAAGTTGTTCTACAAAAAACTGAACACATATCAGGCCACAGAATAGAATTACATTCTTCATAGTCAGTCACCTTTCTGAAATAATTATTAAAACCTATGGCCAGCATTGTGTTAATCATTTTGTTAAGGCATATATACAGTAAGTTAAACCATGAAATCTTCGTTTGAATGGCTGATTCCTTATGGACCTTTAATATGTTAGTATTTTATTAGGCACTTCTGCCGGAAGGAAGGAAGGAAGGAAGGAAGGAAGGAAGGAAGGAAGGAAGGAAGGAAGGAAGGAAGGAAAGAAGGAAGGAAGGAAGGAAGGAAGGAAGGAAGGAAGGATTAAAGCTAAGGTCTCACAAGAGGCAATCTCTGTAAATAGGTCAAATGAAACTTAGAAAAGCTACATGGGATACAAGTACATGTTTGTGCGCACAACATAAAAACACATAGGGAATTTGCACATATGATATCTTTGCTGAGGTGCAGATGTACTTCACTTTGCATTTAACGTGTGTGTATGCAGGCCCTCCTTGTATAAGTTGCCTTCTATATACTATACAGGCAAAATAAAATCATGGTGACATTTTAGTCTATGCAAAGAGTGTAAGTCATGAAAAGCAGAAGAAGATCACTTTTGCACATGGTCCATAGAGATCATTTAAAGGTCCAGGTAAATGGCCCATGTCCAGTTTAAATAAGAAATGTAGATACAGACTTACACTATTTGTTTAGTAACCACTTGGCCCTACTGGATCTAAGGCAAAGAAAAAGCTGATCAGCCACACACTTCATGTAGTTTTGTGCATTATGGTGAGTTTGAAGCTACTTGAAACCAATAAGGTCAATTGTTGCAATGGCCATCTTAAGGCAAATTATGGCAATGAGACCTAGCATTAATGATAGCTAATTTATGCATTCAAGATATGCTTTTATACATAACTGATTAGAGCTGTCTTTTCCCAAAATAATGTAAGCCAAAAAATGAATGCACGTGGATTCAACATGTGTAGCTACAATTCACATCCATCCTACCTCTTCAAATAATATAGATAAGGATTATTTTTCTCCCCTTTCACTAAGAGCCTATACCTAGCATCTGAGGGCCACAGGGAATGTGATAGTTGTGAGTGGACAATGGCAGAGTCTGTGAGGAGCCCTTTTTCAAATGGGGAGGATGGTGGTCCTGGGAGGGAGTAACACAGAAGTGGTACAAGAGCCTCCCAAAGCATTAACACATCTACAGTATTTTAAAACTTAACTTGATAGATTATCAAAACTGAATTTCAAAGTAGGGGTCCTTCTAGATGGCTGCAAAAATAGGTATGGGAATTATATGCTGCCTTAAGGCTGTCTGTCATTAATACTTTTGTATATTTTTGTATATTTTTGTATATTTTAATTAATGACTAAAATTATAAATGACAAAAATAATGTCTGTGAAATATAGCAATGGAGTAAACTATGTTTATTTTAGTTTAATTTTAATAAAAATTAAACGGCTTCAGGACAACAGAAAATATTGACAATTTTGGCATATTAAAATAAAATGTGCTTTAGGTTCACTCATTTAAAGAGCAAACTCTTTAAATATTTTCACATTAATGCACAACATGTTGCTAGCCACAGAATGAGGCTGATCTTGCAGGTATGACTATCTTAGGTCTAATAACTTGTGATTTTTATTCTTTGCAGAACTTTAAAAAGGTGATAATGAAACTATTGATCTTGCTACTTTTTACAAATACATTTTAATATGAAATATTAACCTGAATTACTGTATAATTTATATACACAAATATCTAACACTATAACTGACTACTACATCATTTTTTCAGGAGGATATTTTTAATACAATCACATTTATTTTCAGTATAAGCACACTTGTTTCTAATTATCCTAAGAAACATCACGTAACTCAAATTTATTTAATAGTAGAAATAGAAATTAGGTTTTAGTTTCTGATGTATCAAGTTGATGAAATGACTTGAGAATTTTAGTTTTTGGCATATGAAAAAACAAAACAAAAAACCAGGTTCATCACTGAGATGAATTTTTTTTAAATGTGCAAAATAAATAACGACAATACATTAAAAATGATTTAACACAGGAAATAAAAACAACTTCTAAGTAAACTTATAATCAGATGTAGCCCACATGCTACATGCTACAGAGACCATAGCATGATGGAAGTCTGTGTGGTTATCAAACCTGTGCTATTGTCAGTTGGTAGAGTTGCTCACAAAGATAACTAGAGTATCTAAATTGTTTACATTATGATGGAATACAATATGCAGTTAATTGGATGCTTTCTCTCCGTAATGATTTAGTTCTTTATCTATACTAAAACTGCTTTTTTTTCACTTGGTTCATAATTATACATACATGAGAGAATATACAAGTGATTTCCCATAAGAATTACCATTCTATTCAAAGTATCTCCCAAACTGCCTTATATTGCTGTTCTAATTGTCACCCATGAAAAAAAATATTAGACCCTGTAGGTATAAGCTTTTTTGGGGGGGACCTAGACATTTGAATTTCAAACACTGAAAATTTCAAGCTTTCAAAAGTTTTCTTGGAATTTAATGTAATCTCTAAATCTCTAAAATTCTGGATAGAATCCTGGCATGCATAGCCTGTTACATTACATTATGGTCCCAGAAAACTTTTGAAAGCTTGAAATTTTCAGTGTTTGAAATTCAAATGTCTAGGTCCCTCAAAAAAAAAAAAGCTTATACCTACAGGGTCTAATATTTTTTTCACGGGTGACAATTAGAACAGCAATATAAGGCAGTTTGGGGGATACTTTGAATAGAGCGGTAAAAATATTTAAGCATTGTTTGTGCATAACCTTTCAGCTCTGACATAAATTCAGTGCTAAAAGAAGAAAAAGCTCCCTAATCAGCTTCATCTCCACAAAGAAAGTTGGGAGTTAATGCTTCTATATTATCACTCCAATTACCGTGTGCTGAGAAATCTGACATTTGTTGTTAGTTGCGAAGTCATGTCCGACCCATCGTGACCCCATGGAAAACGTTCCTCCAGGCCTTCCTGTCCTCTAACATCTTCTGGAGTCCATTTAAGCTCACGCCTACTGCTTCAGTGACTCCATCCAGCCACCTCATTCTCTGTCGTCCCCTTCTTCTATTGCCCTCAATCTTTCCCAGCATTAGGCTCTTCTCCAGTGAGTCCTTCCTTCTCATTAGGTGGCCAAAGTACTTGAGTTTCAACTAATCTGACATAACCATCTATAACTGAATATTCTATGTGAACTCTCCCAAACTAGCATTAGGAAGATGAAAACCAGGAATAATCCAGAGGGCTTCAGTGCATGTACAAATCTGTCTTAAGGGATTTTTTTTTTTTGGCAAACAAGAAAACATTTGTGTTTTGTAAAACGAAAAGTGGAAATGAATATTTTATTGTAAATAATGTTAATTATAATGTATGATTATGATCCAGTGACTGCAAATATAATGACTGCAAAGATTAGACTGAATTTTGGTCTTCACAGGTCCAGATTACACTATTAAGGAAAACTCTAGCAAGTCTTACTTTGAACAATAAAATTGAAGCATGCTTATCAATAGAAGAAATCCAAAAACTTACAATAGTGCTTGTGCATGTATTATTTCTTGAAACAGTTTCAATATAATGTTTATTTAGGACATTTTAGATTCCAGATAAAATATTGAAGTGTTTATAGATTTAATCAGCTTTTCCTTAACATTTCTAATGTGTTTTTGGTAACATTAAAATAAATTCAGACCATAAGAAAAAGATTTTTTTTTAAATAGTGTTGACAACATGATGGACAATTCAAATTCAAATTCACCATGCTAGTGATGACACGTGCAAAATAAATTTGCTAAAAATGGCAGAACTGAGAAGTCAAGCTGTTTTTCACAGCAACTTATTTTTGTTGCCCAGTGATAAAAGTTATGAACACTTTTACTTCAAAATTTGCTCTAAGAAACAACTCTATAACAATTACTGGATTTTACTGTGACTCGATTACCTTTCTTGAAGCTAAAATATTGTATTCCTACACAACATTGGGACAATAGATTCTTGCAGATCAGTGCAGTTTAGTATATCCTTTGGTCCAATTTACATATTAACACCATCTCATTTTAAATATTAAAAAAAGACAGACACTGAATGGCCTAGCAATAGAAAAAGTAGGAATACTAATTTCCTATGTGATAATTGGAACTACTGATTACCAAATTGTTGGAAAAAAGAGACATAGACTTGCATTTTTCACTAAAAATGGGCAATCCTATTTTTGCAGTTCCATTCAGAAAGATCTCCACACAGTCATTTTCAACACTTGTGTTTCATGGCAAGCTGCAGAGGGGAAAAAGAAGAGAACATATTAAGATACTTATTTGCAATTCTAGCCACAACTCTGATTTCTTAGGATTTGAAAAATACTGAAAATAGAAAGCAAAATAGAATCATGTCTGCAGAACTGTAATGAAAATTAAACTTACTCTTGCTGTGGGAAGTCTGTACTGCCTATTATATTAAGAGCTAATGATATTGAAATAAAAGTAAGGCATCTAGTTTGGTTTACAGGTTCATTTAGTGACCAAAGTTACAATATCATTGAAAAAAGTAGCTTATGACCGTTTTTCACACTTACAGTCATTGCAGCATCCCCGTGGTCACGTGATCAAAATTCATATGCTTGGCAACTGACTCATATTTATGACGATTGCAGTGTCCCAGGGTCATGTGATCACCTTTTGTAACCTTCTGACAAGCAAAGTCAACGGGGAAACTAAATTCACTTAACAACCGTGTTAGTAACTGAACCATTGCAGTGATTCACATAACATCTGTGGCAAGAAAGGTCATAAAATGGAGCAACATTCACCTAAGAAATGTTTAACTTAGCAACAGAACTTTTGGGCTCAATTGTAGTCATAAGTCGAGAACTCTACTCTGTTTGAATGGCAGTTCAAACATGCTGAAAATGAATTAGGATAAACAAGGAAAGATACATTATTAGTGCTAAACAATATTGAATTTACAACAATCTGAAGTGCTATTTAAAAACACATTGGCTTCTAGATATTTTAAGCCAATTCTAACTTAAAGAAACACTATATTGAAGCAAGGAAGTGTAGTTTTTCTTCGCTCTTGTTCGAGCGCAGACCTAACCCAAATTACATATAACTCTGTGGTGCAAACTTAGTATAAACCATATTTTCAGCTTCTGGATACTTTATCATACCAGATTGATTCATATAAGAAATAAAGAAGAAGGGTTACAGGGATTGGGTATGTCTCCTTTAATGAAAAGAAGGACTAAGGATGATATGATAGCAGTGTTCCAATATTTAAGGGGTTGCTATAAAGAAGAGGGGGCCAACCTATTCTCCAAAGGACCTGAAGGTAGGACAAGAAGCAATGGATGGACTCTAATCAAGGATAGAATGAACTTAGATCGAAGGACAAATTTCCTGATAGTCCAATTAATAAGAAGAATGGCTTGCCTCCAATAGTTGTGGGTTCTTCAAAACTGGAGATTTTTAAGAACAGTTTGGACAGCTATTTGTCTGAAATGATATAGGATCTCCTGCTTGAATGGGGGGGCTGGACTAGAAGACCTCCAGGGTCCCTTCCAACTCTGTTATTGTTATTCTGATTCAATCCTTGGAACCATTCAAGGAAAGGGGGAAAAAACATTTTGTCATAATCACATTTTCCCAAACTATCCTTTGGAGGATTTTCTGAATGCAGTCACCAAAAGAATTCAGAATATGGACAAATTCTTAGCAAAGTTGCCAGTGTTGCAAGCAGTAGTGATAGAATTAATACAGTGTTCACATATTTTAATATTTGGCCTTGAGAATAGGCCTGGAGTCTTTTCAAAGTAACACTAAAGCTGAAGGGATGCTTCTTATAATTACCAAGCTGTATATAATATCATTTGGCCATCTAATTCAGTGTTAGCTGTGTTGCCTGGTATATGTTTTTAAAGCATAATCCTTGTATCAATTCTTGGAAATATCAGCAATTAATATTTGCATTTACTTGCATCAGTAGGTGAAGTCAACCATTTTTTTGTCCTGTTGGCTCCATTTTCAGGTGTTTGAGAATGAAACCGGGCCATTTGTAGGCTAAAGAAGAGCCATTCCCATCTACTACAATATTTTTCTTTTCTTCTACTTTGAGAATATTTGAAATAACCAGAATAGATGGCAAGTAAACAGCTGCATCTTTCAATTATCAGCTTCAGTTATATTGGCAAGGGTTCATCTGGCTATTTTAGATGCACACAGCACAGCTTATTCTTGAGAAGTGCCAGGAAATATCTCTCACCACATCTCCCCTACTTAACTGCAAAATTAACTTGACATGCAGTCACCTAGTATAAAGCAATCTAAGATCTCATTACAACATTTAAAGAGTGCGATTCAAGGAGTCAAAAATGTCTCATAGCATTTTTGCCATTTCTTTTGAAGCAATGCTTTTTAATAGACTCCAGTATTAAAGAAAAAAATAAAAACAATTATTTTATATTCTTTTTTTTTTTTTAGAAAAAATAACATAAATTTTCAGTGTCTTTTTCCAGTATAGGTTTACTTTCAGGCATTTCACAGATAAATATTTCATACCACATATAAGCCAATAATTTGTATAAATAATTGACTTCTGCAACAGTGATTCTGAAGACATTTTAAAATGTTCAAAAGTAAGCAAAAGCTGGAATAATTTATTTTTTTTTTAATCAGGAGCAAGTAGGAGGTAGAATAGAATGAAGCATTAGAATACGGTTTTTTTTTCTTTTTTAAAAAAATAATTCAAGGTTTTAGTCATAGAAAAACTCAAATACAAAATAATATTATTCTTGGAAATGTTCATTAAGCTAAATAATGTCCACATCATAATTTGCAAACATTTTAATTTTAAGAATTTTTTGCCAGGCAGATTGGTATGGCAATACAAATATACAACACACACACACACACACACACACACACACACACACACACACGACACAGAAACTAACACAAACAGGAAAAAAGCTTGTGTTCAAGCCATAGCTGAGTCAATTATAGTATTACAAGATCCCTACCATAAATGTTTGGGGAAATCTTAGTTGCAGCTTGACATTTGTGTCTGATGATTACTAATTTTGCCTACAGAATTCTCTAAGACAGTATAAGATACAGGCACAGTTTGAATTCTGTTCACATGTATTTCTCCTCTAGTTTTCGTGCCACAAGCCTGGACACACTATTTAGACATCAAGTTGGTCTAAAATGGATTTTTCTTCTTCTTCTTTTTACATTCTGTAGCTGTAAAATAAACTAGGAAACACCTAGCTCTGTTATTTTAATTATGAATTGTGTGATGTGTTGCAAATAATCTGCATCTCAAAAATGTTCTAAAGTATTTGGAGATCTTGAATGTTTTTCTTCAATAAATATCCATAACTAAATGATAGGAATTATAATTATAGGAAGCAAATAGATGTTTATCTGGAAGCAACAATCTTGCTTCATAATTGAGTATTTCAGTTGCCAATATATTCCATATCAGTATTGTCACCATACCGTGATTGCAGCCATGAAATTAAAAGATGCTTGCTCCCTGGGAAGAAAGCAATCCCAGACAGCTTACTAAAAAGCAAAGACATCACCTTGCTGACAAAAGTCTGTATGGTCAAAGCTATGGTTTTCCTTGTAGTTATGTATGGCTGCGAGAGTTGGATCATCATGAAGGCTAAGCGCTGAAGAAACTGATGCTTTTGAATTGTGGTGTTGGAGAAAACTCTTGAGAGTCCCTAGGACTGAAATGAGATCATATCAGTGAATCCTAAAGGAAACCAACCCTGACTGTTCTTTGGAAGGACAGATATTGAAGCTGAAGTTGAAATACTTTGGCCATGTAATGACAAGAGAGGACTCATTGGAGAAGACCCTGATGTTGGGAAGAACTGACTGAAGGCAAAAGGAGAAGGAGATGACAGAGGTTGAGATGGTTAGATAATGGCATCGACCCAATGAACATGAATTTAGACAAACTTTGGGAGATAGTGGAGGACAGAGGAGCCTGGTGTGTTATGGGATGTGTTATGGGGTCGTGAAGAGTCAGATACGACTTAGCGACTGAACAACCACACCTGTTCTTTACTATCTACAGCCACCCAAGATTTTCTACTATTTTAATGATGGTTATTCAAACATAATAACTGATGTTTGGATTTACTTCAAAGTTAATATGATTTGCATTGCAATTAATATAACTCTGGGAGCATTCAGAGAATAGTTCTGACATATGTATTTTGATACATTTGAGTGAAAATATCAAAGAATGTACTGAAAAACAATTGCCCAGTGAAGAAACCAACAATATGGGGAAAAGCTAAGATATTTCAAACCTGATTACTGGATTGGGTTACATGTTGCATCTGTGTTACACTATGTGTCACATTTCCATTAATTCAATAGGATTTTTCTTTACATTCTTACAGTCTCCAGAACAGCTTTCCACTTCCATATTTTTAAAAAGGTAGAAGAAAGGGCAAAATTATGTCCCATTCTGGTAGCTGAAACTGCTTCTGCTAATGGAAAGATATACTTGGGTTCTACTCCAAGTGCTTAAAAAGAAAATTCTATGGGGATAAAGAGTGGAGAGATTAAATTAATAATTAAACTAAGAAACTAGAGACAATAGTCATAGATAGGTCTTTTGTTATCTGAAAGGGTGGCCTCATCACACAGAATGTGGTAGATGACTGAGCCTGAGGGAGGGATCAAATGTTGTCTTGAGTCTCTTCGTGCCCACAAGAGTTCTAAGTCCAGCCCACTTTGAATTCCACACTCTTATCTACCACCAATTTGCTTTGACTGTTAGTGGTTCAGGTTCTTGTAGAAAGCTTAAGCTTGCAATAAACCTTCGTATTCATTTGAACTGACTGGATTTCCTGATTTCCCTGGCACATGACACAAGCCAATGAAATATAAAGTATGAGGACATACAGGGGCCATATAGGGAAAACAGGCCCATCATCTTGGCCTTCAGGAGGATTCAATTTATCCACTATATTTTATTATATGAATAATCAATAATTTTAGATGCTTGAAGAATATCAAGTGACACACTTTGAAAACTGGCTACATTTTCATAGTGTTAATTCTATTAATAAAATGTTGACATTTGCCAGTAAATGCCAATTCTATCTCTACCCATCTAAACACATGCAATATTGCTTGAGGAGCTGTCATCTCATCATCAATGTTTATGATTCAGACTTGGCTGTAAATATTAAAAATTCAAGAAAAGCACAGCACTTTTTCATTGAGGATCTTTTCCCCCCCTTTATTTCCTCTTTTATTGCTTCGGGTGTCGAGGGAGATATTCCTATCATTGAGGATGGGAAATTTTAATTAATACTATCCCAATTTATGAAGTTTTCTAAGGCCAGTATGTTCTTTCAATGGAAACAGAAATACACTTGCTTCTTCAATAATGTCTGCTCTAAGACACAATTTTTTATGCAAAATCAAGGAAAGGAAAAATTGAGTTCTGAGGATATGTTAGAAATATATACTGAAGGAACTAGAAGAGCAGAATGGCTCTTGATGCCTTTGAGAGTTCCCAGAGGACTCATAAAGTCCAAGAAGAGTGGAGGAGAGCAAATATTCTCATTTTTAAAAAGGGAAAGGAAAAGTTAGGAATCTATAGATTTGAAGACTACAAAGTTATTTCAACAAATTATCAAGCAAGAAATTACACCGGATTAACTTTATCTCCTTTTTTTGTTACTGGCTTAGTAGATCATGAAATTACCCTAGAGATAGTGTACCTGGATCTCAGCAAAGCCTTCAACAGAGCCCCTTATTGATAACCTTCTTAGTAAAACTATAAAATATTGGTTAGATGATACTTGTATGATATGACTCCAAGTTATCTGAAGGACTACCCCAATAAATGCTTGTCAATGCCATCACTTCAGCTTGGAAGGAATTATCAAGCAGAGTACCACACATCCCTGTCCTAGGCTCTATAATATTATAATTAATGATGGAGGTAAATGGATGTTGCCAATGGCACAATGCTGGAAGGGACAGTTTAGAAAACAAAGTGAAGCTACAAACAAATCTACATAGGTTTGATGGATTTGTAACAGGCTGACAAACTATACTCATTGAGTAATAATATTTTTTTTTTAATTTTGCGGTCACAGACCAAAATGCAAATACAACAAAAGAAAACACAAGAAAAATATATCACAAACAATTAAACACCAGAAGCCTTGGCAAAAGGGAATTACAACGTTCTCCTCTGGTAGTTACAGCTCTTAAAAGAAATTTAGAAACCTGAGAAGTAATATAGGAGGAGCCATCCCCTAGACAATATAAAACCAAATTACTAACATTAGAACCAGAGGGATCAATTCCAAGGAGAGACAATAATTTAATTCTGCCTGTGTTATACATAGGGCAGTATGATAAGACATGNAATGGCTGAAGATCAAAGGGGAGCAGGTTTTGTTGGCTCTGGCTCTTAAATATTGCAAATCTATGTCCACAAGCCGTTGGACTACCCTAAACTAGGCATCCTTGAGACCATAATCTCCCAGAGCATCCCCCGTAAAACCTAGCAAGTGGAGTTTCTTCGTCAGCTCCCTCTCCCAACGAGAGGTATGAGAGTCAGCAAACACCAGGGAGAGGTAGCTACCAGGGACTGCCGAAAAGAGCATCCGAAACCACCATTTGAAGGTGTTAATCCACGCCATGCATTTGACTGAACGAATGCCCAGTTCCAGGTAGATCGAAGCAAATCCAACACAGGGAGGAAGACCCAGAAGTTTCCTAAGAAAAACAGCCTGGGTTCTTTCAATACAATCCTTGAAGCCTCGTATCCATATGGGAATTCCATAAAGAATTTGGGCCAGGGTTTTGGCTTTATATATACGCAAAGCAGAGGGGATAAACTGGCCTCCTTGGGTAAAAAAGAATCTTATAATCTGCTGATGGCTACAGGAGGTCGAATTCAGCACCTGGGTTCGATGTTTAGTCCAAGCACCAGTATTCTGAAACTGAATACCTAAATACTTAAAATGGAAAACCCGCCTAACAACATTACCATTGATAGCCCAATTGTATGATTTCCGGGCTCTGGAGAACACCAATACTTTGGATTTGTCATAATTAATAGACAAATGGTTCTCATCACAGTAGGACCCAAATGCAGAAAGTAGGATAATTAACCAGCGGAACAGCTTGCCTTCAGAAGTTGTAGGGGCTTCACCATAGGAGGTTTTTAAGAAAAGACTGGACAGACATTTATCTGAAATGGTATAGGATCTCTTGCTTGAGCAGGGGGTTGGACAATAAGACCTCCAAGGTGCCCTCCAGCTCTATTTTGATTGAACAATGGATTGAAATGAATAGGATGGAATTTACGCAACATATAATTCAACTTTGGAATTTAGTACTATAAGATGTGGCACTTACTATCAGCTTGGCTGGTTTCAAAAATGGGTTGGATCTATTCATGGAGATCAATGGTTATTAGCCCTGATGCAAGTGTGATGGCCTCTGAAGGCGATCTGTGAGGCGACTATTGGGTACATTTGTGCAGGTAGTTGGCTACTGTGAAGACAGACTGCTGGACTAAATTGGCCAGGGATCTGATCCAGCAGGGTACTGCTTATATTTTTAAAGGCATAAATACAATGTTATATATCAGAGTGGCAAAAATGTAGGGCATAAATATAGGATGGGGGAAATCTGTCAAAGGTCTCTGGGGTGGTTGCAAATCAAATATGAGTTGGTAATATGATGCAGCTGCTAAAAAGGAAAATGTATTAATAAGGACACAGAGATCATGAGAAGTAATTGTGCCATTTTGCTTTGTACTGGTAAGACCTCATATGAAAATATCTATCAATAGAAAACTTACCACCATATGTAGTGGATCCATTGTGTCCAAGTCTGCAACCATGGTTCAAAAAGAACAGTGACCAGTTCAGGGGACAGCTACCATGAACCATAAACCAAGTCCTATAAAGAACAGTTAAAAGGATCTACAGTAGATAGGTTTAGCCTACTGGAATGATGACTGGGGAGAGATATAACAATAGCTTCAAATATCTGAAGAATTATCACACAAAGGGGACAGTTATTCTGTATTGACCCAGATGTCAATAAGTTAAAAATATGAGAGAACAGATTCAGGCTAGAAATCAGAAGGATTGTCCTGCCCACAATATATGATCTGTCAACTGTGTATGATGGTAAGGTCTCTATTGCTAGAGATTTTCAAACATATGCAGATAGTCATTTGTGAGAGATGCTGTACTGGATCCTGCACTACCAATGGGGTTTGAATAGATTTTCATTGAGATATCTTCCAACTCTTTCATTGAGATATCTTCCATCTATGAAAATATAATGTAGTGAAATGAAGTGAAATGCTTGATATTTGTAAGTTCCTGGGTTGTAGCTTACAATATTCTACTTGAATGCAGCATAGAAAACAATGTAACAATGAGTGACATGAAGAAGAACGCTATAAAACAGCACCTTAATAGTTTAAACCCAGACCTATTCATAATTTAAATTACTCCATAAAAATATTCTCAGTCAGTAATAGTATCTCATAAAGCCTACGAACGGCTATCGCTATTGCCCCATTCTTTAGGATTCTTATTATTTATTATGAAGCAGTGATTTTTAAACTGTACTCTGAGGAATCTCAGGATCATGAGTGGCCACTTAAATGAAACATAAACAAGAGTGGATAAGTTTTCTTAAAAGAAAGCATGTTCAGCAGCAATCAGTTTTTCTTAGAGCACACAGCTGCTGAGATACCCAAAGTTTGTCAGCCAGTTACAAATCCATTTGAAATAGGACAACTTTAAATTCAAGAGCCTATCCATTTTCAGATGACAACTGCATGTAAGAACAGATTTGATGAATCCACAGGCTCAATTGTATTTTGTGTCAAGATGGAAAATTATTAAAAGCAATTTGATTTGATGTGGGGCCATATCAGCTGATCTTAATACTGAGGGAGCAATATCTAATACAATATTACATTTCCTTCAGTGCCAACTTAGCCAATAGTTGGACTTTGACTCTGTCATATCCATATTAAGTTATCTCCTTGCAACCTGGTTCATACTGATATTATTGTTTTAAATTGAATGTTACTTGTTTCACGAGTGTTTATACAACAATGAAAAAGAAGAAATAAATATGATAATACAAACTTAAAGGAATACCTTGTGTGCAGTTTCTGCAAAATGCTGAGCGCTATTTTTCATGTCCTCTGTCTTTTCTTCAGTTCGACTTAATCTTTCACCGCGCTCATTCAAAGCCTGGCTTGCTTTCTGTACTGCACTTGTCACGCTGTCTGCTGCCGAATGTAATATGCTGTTTCCTGAAACACATCACACGTGGTTGGAATGCACGTCTTATTTTCTGAAACATGTAGCATAGCGAAACCTGGATGAATTATGAATGGAAATATATTTTTTTACTTCACTTGATGCAAATGACTTTGTTGCAGTAATTCTAACAAAGATGGCTTTAGGCTCTAAGGCAAGAATATCCAATCTTGGCAACATTAAGACCTGTGGACTTAAAACACCTGGCTGGGGAATTCTGGGAGTTGAAGTCCAGAGGTTTTAAAATTGCAAAGGTTGGACACTCCTAATCTAGGGGGAGAATGTTTGTTTTCCACTCTGTAATATGAAATCATATAGGCTGACCTCCAAATAAAATAAACCATACAAGGAATAGTGGATTATTATCAGGAAAATATCTCTATTCTTTTCTAAATTCTACTACTGCATTGTATCCAACAATCATACATTTTTCCTCTTCCAACACTTCTTTTTCAAGTTTTCTTTATACAATTCCCCAATACAATACATTTCTATGCAGAAGCCCAAATATGCAAAATAAGGTTTACCCCAAGATAAGTGGATATAGATGTCATGGTTCCGATAAACCCATCAAAAGAACTTCAAGGGAAGAATTCTTCCTTAAAGAACATTTTATTAGGATACACAGTAACAGCACTACATAGTTGAACCCAAAACTAAATTCCCTTCCCCCAGATACAAAGTAACAAGTTGCAATTCATACCCTCCCCCCAAGCAGTCATAAATCACATTCTCCAATTAGCCTAAAGCGTGGGCTCCCTCTCCAGCTCCTCAGCCTGCCAAAACGTTATCGGTTTGTGTCCTTGAGTTCCCACGAAAGGGCATTATTATTATGGCTAGCTGAGCTCAAGCATTCACCCCACCCCTTCTACATCTGATTCCTAAACAGCAGAAAAAGCACGCTGAAAGCAGAGTAAAAGTGGCTGCAATTTCCCTTAGTTGTCAGAGCGGGACCATCCATTGTCACAGCTTTGACAATAGAATTATTTCTATAAACTTAATTTGAACTAATTTTTATATTTATATTTATGCCATTTGAAGTTATTGTTTGTGTCAAAAAATCCCTTTTTGATCTCAATTTTTCAAGCTAATGCAAGCTACTTCAGAATATTTACTTTTTAAGTAATCATTTATTTTTAATGTTTACTTTTAACTAAGGAGCTTAGGACTGTATACATATATAATTTTATTTTTATTATCATTTCTTATACAAACTAATTCCTTCTAATTTCCGAGTGCCGGGTTGGATATTAAACTGCTTAATGGCAGCATGGTCTGAACAGAATGGAATGCTCTTCTCTGTGAAAATGAAGAAAAAATACTTTTCTGTCCCTCTTCCAATTCTTTTTTCACTAATAGGACTTCTTGCAGTGTTCGGTAGGATCCACCAACTCTCCAAAGAAAAGCTTCAGGAGAGATACAGTGAATGGGGAATCAAATAAAATTCCATCCTCCCTGTTCACCTGAGATATTTAATTTTAATCATCTTAAATCAAAATGCACTTTTCTAGAGAGAAACAATTTTGAGAAAAATGACCCTGGATTCAATTTCTGATGCTAGGTGCTTCAGCACTATATAAAAAAGGTTTTTGTTTTTTTTTTTAAAAAAATTGCATTTGTCTGAAAATATAATTAATTTTCCATCAAATCTTTACATCAGGTAATAATCAGTTTCTGTAAACCCAATGTGTTTGCTAAGCATTCTCTGCTGAAGCACGTACTGCCAACAAAAGGCACTTTCCTTGATGGTTACAACTTCTGCAAGATTTGAGCTGCAGACAGGCTATCTTACAGATTTTCAAATCTGAAGGAGGCACCAGCTATTAATATTATTTGCCCTGTTTCGGTAGGCAATAGATAAAATTGTATACATTTGTTGAGAATGTTTAAATTTGGGGGTAAGTTAAATTGCTTCTTCTTTTTCCTCATAAAGTAGTGTGTTGGCATAAAGATAAAATATGATAAAAATAAGATTATATACATGATGGTTAATTTGGAAAAGAACTATTTTTTATTTTTCTCATTAGTATTATATTTGATTTTGCCTTAGAATCAACTTAACTATTTTTATGTGACCATCTTGACATCTAGTTTTTAGCTATATTTTCAATAGGAAATCACAGAATACTCCTATCAAAGATATTGTAAATTATTTTGCCAAAGCTAGATACTCATTTATTATCAAATGAATATTCTTTATTTCTTGGCAAGTGACTTTTGAAATTTTCAACCCAATCCACTCCAATTTATCTTTAAGGATAAGAAAGACTTAATTCTCCTGTGTGTGTGTGTGCGCGCGTGCGTGCACACACACACACACATGAAATGTTATCATTCTAAACAGGAATTCAAAGTTGAACTGTAAATATGGTTGACTAATGCACATTCAAACATCTTGCAACACAATATGTACGTGGTATTTTTAAACAATCTTTGACTAGATATTTTTAATTGATCAAAATATGTATCAATTGATTCCAGTATCTAATGCCTTTCAATAGGTACAACATTGCAAGGAATTGATCATCAGAAAAGCCTGGCATCAGTTTTGGGTAGTAAGATGTAACAATTTTATTATTAGTATAATTTCTACTAATCTTTTCCAGATTACATTAGAGCAGGGGTTTTCAAACTTGGCCCTTTTATGAGTTGTGGACTTCAACTCCCAGAATTCTTCAGCCAGCGTGTCTGGCTGAGGAACCCTGGGAGTAGAAGTCCACAAGTTATAAAAAGGCCAAGTTTGAAGACCCCTGGATTAGAGGAAAGAACACATCAGACAGATTTCTCTATAGTTCAATTGTTAACAGCTAAACTATACTGCCAACACTTTGAAATATTTTTTTTAAACTAATAACTAAATAAAGGTAACACTACTGAGTTTGGATTTTTTGCAGGTAAAGATTAGTTTTATGATTATATAATGTGTTATATCATTTTATTTATTAATCAAATTTATACAACTGCCCACCTCAGATATTGAAGGAATAAGGTGCTCTTTTAAATACTGCAAAAAGTTTCAGCAAATGTCCCACATGATGTAGGAGATGACTAGGCTGACTGAGCCCAAGGGTGGTGGCATAATTACTCTGGAATCCCTACTTAAGTCCAGACCCCCTTGAAATCTGGTGATAATTTGCACTGACTATTAGGAATTCAGATTCTCTAGGTTGCATGGAATAAACTTGCAGTGCTTTTGAATTATCCTGGCTCCTGGTGTCTTGCGCCTAACACCTAGAAGCTTCTATTCGTTTCTTTCCTTTTATTTTATTTACATGAATTCATGGTTGACTACTAAGACAAGTGATAGAACATTCAGCTCTTAACAATTCAACCAATGCATTTCATTTCATTCAATTTTGTTCTGAGACTCTTCAGCTAAGTTTCTTGCAGAACCTGATTATAGCTTTCCCTGTGAATGCTTTGTAGCCTTCCAACTCAATCAATCATGTCAAAGTATTTGCGAATTATATAGCAACATAATTTCTATGATACATATGGACATGGTTTTTAGGTTTCTCATGCATGGCAAAATGATAACTGATTACATTACTGGATTCACTGTCACGTAGAATCCAACCAATGTATAGTCTAATAAGCATCTTGGTGTTATCCCTGTACCTTAATTTTGTCACAGATTTTTAGTGCTATACTTTGAATATAATATATATTATATATAATATAATCCAGTGATGGCGAACCTTTTAGATACCGAGTCCCTAAAAACTGCCTCGCCCCTGCTCCGTCCCCCCCTCTCCTGCCTGCAGGGCCACCCACCACCTCCACGGCCCGCCACAGCAGATCGCCCAGGCGGTCCAGCAGCATTATGGCAGCCACGCCCTCTGTCCGCACCCCACAGCATCATCTGTACACGATGGGGCACGAGGGCGGAGTCTTGTCCCCGCTGCCCAGCTGCCATGTCTTTGGCTGCGCTGCTCCACGCAGGCTGCATCCAGGGCAACTCTCCTCCAGGGGGGCTGCTGGTGAGGAGGGGCCATGGGGGTGGTGGGGCTGGGGCAATGGCGTGCATGCCCACAGAGAGGTCTCTGAGTGCTGCCTCTGGCACCCGTGCTATAGGTTCGCCACCACTAGCATAACCTATTTGGTAAAGAAAGAAGAAAAACATTTGCATTAAACCAATTAGTAGGCTTAATGTTCCTATTTCGGTAAATATCTCTTCCACACACCCCTAAAAATAGGGCCAAATACAGTCTGGCTCACTGCATCACCACTGTCACCACCTTATGGCCTTTTGGTGACAAAAATACTGTAGCCTACAGATAGGTTGCCTATCTGAGGAGACCCTTGAGCAGGGCAGTTTCTATTTTATTTACCACCATAATAAGTATCAGAATGGCATGGTGTGAGCTCTTTCTATATCTTTTCCTTCCCTTTTTAACTGCAGGACACAAGAGTCTTGAAGAACATATAATTATATTTAATGTCATTACTGAAATGAGTGGCCTGAACCTGTGCAGTAACAGACACTGACTCCTTTCTGCAGCCAAAGTGCTTACACCAAACGAATTTAAAAACAAATAAATATATTTACAAAAATATCCTATAAGAAACAAAAAACACCCTTTTTTTCTGTTAGCCAGCCTGTTTTGCAGGCATCTGCAAAGAGGAAGTCTTTGTAAAATGTGAATGCCCAGAGTTATCTGGTTATCATATGGGCTTTCTTAAATTTATGATGGGATAGGTGGGATTAGAAATTATAGCCCTATTAGGAAGCAGGAAGAATTGGCTCTTTTTAGCAGGAGCTTTTTTTGTTGTTGCTAAAGGATGCCTCTCCTGAAGTGGTGAAAAAAACAAAGCAGGCAGAGCAAGAGACTCAAGAGAGAGTTCTCTCTTCTGAGAATGCTGTTGCCTCCTATGGAGGACAGAACTGTTAAGTAGGATCAACATATAGCAAGTCACAACAATTGTTAACTACTTGGGAAAGAAATAATCACTACCCATGTCTTTACTTGTTTGTTTTCACCAGCTGGAAGCC